GGCCATGCGGCAGTTCCTGGTGCCGTGCCCGAACAATAGGCAGTTCGAGCACTGAGTGACGCCACGGTGGGTTGGCTTATACCGCTCCCACTTCACTACGATGTGGAACAGTGTGCGTGTCGTATGGAGATCCTTCACGGTTGTGGAGTTCTTCTGCAGATGGACCAAGTAGAGCTGGTCACGATACTTGATGGCCTTGCTGCGGGTCATCTTGTGGATTTCGACCGGCTTGAGGCCGTTCGCCTTAATCTCGTCCATTAAGGTGGTGGTGTCCATGTCGTGGAGCCCGCGCAGCACCACTTTCAGCGGCTTGGTGGCCTCGACGTCGTGGGAGAAGTACTCCAGCTTCATCCTGTCCAAGAGGGCCTGGACTGCGTTGTAGTGATTTTCGGCCGAGACCATCAGTTTGTAGCCTTCCGTGCACCGTTGAATGGTGCAGCGAAGGCCCTGCTTAATGTAGAAATCCAGCTGCTCCCATAGCCCGGGAGGGAAGCCCTTCACATAGAAGGGTGGCAACTTAACTTTTTTAGGCACCGTCTCAGGGTCCGACTGCGGCTGGGCTCCGTTCTGCAGGGCGGAGAACGGATTGTTGCTCAGCAGCTTTTTTGCTGCCGATGCGGTGGCGCTGATGTCTTCAGGTCTGGGTCGTTTAGTTCCGGGAGGCCCCGGCTGCGGGTCCGCAACGCCTGTCGGGACGGGCAATGGGGTTTTCTTCTGCTTCTTCTGAGCTGGCTCGGTGGTCGCGCCGTCTCCTGGGAGAGTCTGTTTTCCCGGTAAGCCGGCACACGCGTTACCGCGCGATTTCTTACCCATGGCTGGGTCAGCGAGAGCGTCACTATACAACGCGGAGCTAATTCGACTTGCGAACGAACGAACGAAACTAGAGAGAATTCAAATCGACTGAACTGCTCAACAGTCTGGCAGCGAATGATGAGCGGAGGCAGGGGAGCAGCGCTGATTTATATCTTTTCATGATCAAGCAGAATGATGTGCAACCAAGTGGTATTCGTTTATGATGACTATATAGGTTTGGGAAAAAGGTTTATTTCATGAAAACATCATTATCATTTGTACATTTTCATTTTCATTTAATTACAGAAAAATCGGAAAAATATTTATTTCAGCAGGTTCGTAATGTAATATCGTATCGATTGGCGTATTTGGATTTTAATTTCATCTATAAATGACAAAGTTACAAGCGTATAAAACCTAACACTTTTGCACCACACATATTTTTTGATTCGCACCCCAGTATAGTCGACAAAGACGTAGTTCTACGTCAAAAAAAGTAATATCGATCAATGTAATTCAAGCTGATGTAAGAAATACTAATACTAATAGCAAAAAGCAGATACAATATTACATCAATGGATGTAATTTTATTCGCAAAATCGATGAACATCGTACAACGTTATATTACACAATGTACACAACTTTTTTTCTGTGTACAGGGGTTACTCAAAATAACTAGGATTAGGCAAATTTTTGGTCAACTTTGGAGTGTTGTAACTTCGTCAAATATGATCCGATTTTAAATCTTCCAAGAGCATTTGACTGAAAAACTAACATTGTTCTACGGTGTAGCCACGAAAATAATCCTGGTCACCGGATACCGGAGATATTCCGGGTTTCTGGAAGGCTTGTCTAACTTGCTAAATTTTTGGTAAAAATTTTATATATGATGCTGGTTAAATATATATATTTTTAGTTAATACAACAAAAGAAGAACCATTTTTAAAGCGAATCATATGCCAAAAACTAAAATCGGTCTATAATCAACCGAGATATGGCCATTTCCCTAGAATCGGTTCTGGTGAAGGGTTCTGAATGCGGTTCATTTAATCACTCAAAATATGCCGTGCGACAGCTCTTTCTTCATGGTTTCTCGTCAATAGACTTTCGATAAATTTGAAATGCATCATTGACCACATTGGCCACTCTCGGAACATCCAGTATGCCCCCGGGGGAACCTGGAGCAGGTGACAATTGCATTTTTACACCAAAACATGCCGTGCGACAGCTCATTCTTCATGGTCTTTCATGAATAGGCTTTCCATAAACTTCAAATGAATCATTGACCACATTGGCCGCTCTTGGAATCACGGGATACCCCCGAGGGATCCTGTAGCAGGGGTCAATTGCGTTTTTACACCAATGCTTGCCGTGCGACAGCTTTTTCTGCAAGTTTTTTCATGAATAGGCTTTTGAAAGACTTTAAATAGATTAGTGACCACATTGGCCGCTCTCGGGACCTCCAGTATGCCCCCGGGGGAACCTGGAGCAGAGGACAATTGCATTTTTACACCAAAACATGCCGTGCGACAGCTTATTCTTCATGGTTTTTCATGAATAGGCATTCATTAAACTTCAAATGGATCAGTGACCACATTGGCAGCTCTCGGAATCACGGGATACCCCCGGGGGAACCTGTAGTAGGGGGCAATTGCTATTTTACTCAAAAACATGCGGTGCGACAGCTCTTTCTTCATGGATTTTCATGAATATGCTTTCTATAGACTTAAAGTGAATCATTGACCACAATGGCCGCTCTGGGAACCACTGGATACCCCCGGGGGAACCTGTAGCAGGAGACAATTGCGTTTTTACTTAAAAACATGCCATACCGGAGGTCCCGAGAGCGGCCAATGTGGTAAATGATTCACTTTAAGTCTATAGAAAGAATATTCATGAAAATCCATGAAGAAAGAGCTGTCGCACGGCATGTGAACACTGTTTTGAGTGCGTTGTAATCTAAATACTATAAGCCTTCACGGTATTTAAAAAGTATTCACAAGAATTTTTAGAAGAATTAAAGGAATCAAAATTATTTGAAGTGGACCTAATTAAAGTACTTAAAAATATTTAAAGAGGATTCAAAGTACTCAACATTCTTTAGAGAAATCAAAATACTCAAAGGTATTTAAAGTTGATTGAAAGTACTCAAAACAGTTCGCTCTTAGCTGTCGACTAAAGCAGCAGCAGCTCCAGAATCAGTCCCATGGAGTACGCGTCAATCTGCGTCTTTATCCGGGATTTATTTCGACATTCGATTCATCAACAAAAAGAGAGGGGACTACGCAGTATACTATAGTCACAGCCAAAACTACCAACAATTTGCTCAATATTCTTCGAAAAGTGTATACTTCAGGTTGGCAGTTTCACCATCCCTGTGATCAGTTGAATTTACTATAAAGCATTTCCATTCTCGTAGATTGCAGTCTCGAAGAAGTTCTTGATCCAAATAAAAGTGCCGTCAATCCCACCGTCATCAGTGCCCCTCCCCTGAAGACGAAACACGTACCTATCGCGAAACTGGCCAAGGAGAAGAAGATTGTGACGATAATTGCCCGTGGAGTGAAGTGGAAGTAGGATAAACCGAATGGTCTCGGCAGGGATGGACGGTCCATAAGTTAATTCAGGAAGATGAATGAGTGCACTTTCGTTTGTACACATGTCTTACGAGTGCATTTACTGCCTGAATCAGTTCGAGAGCCGGACTGTACAATGCATAACTTCTCAGGAACGTCAAACAATTCACCAAGTCATCAGCCATCCATAATCAAGTAATACGTTCGTAATGCTCACCCGTGATGGCATTTCTTCGGATTCCTTCGGCATTTCGGACTCATCGTCCGATTTCAGGACCAGCCGAAGTTCCCCGGAGAAAACACTCAGTGAAGCAGGAATCCCCCCGGCTGCTTCTAGCCCAAAGAGCCATTATCATTAACAAACTTTTTTTTCGAAATAGATTTTAGTGGATTTTCCGTCCAATTTGGCCAATGAGAATAACTCGAATTTGAGTTCCTTTCACTCAGTTTTGGAAAAAAATGCAGGAGCTCACAGCTTGAGTAAAATTTTCAAAGAAAAACTTGCCGAATATGAGAGAAATTGAGAGAGGTTTTACTTAGCCTATTAGTATACGTAGATTTTTTAACAGAAGCGAGAAAAATTTTACTCAGTTCCACAGAGTTCCCGCAGTTTTTTCCAAAACTGAGCAAATGGAACTCAAATTTGGTTATTCTCATTGGCCGTGTGCAATCTTTTATCGATTTATTTTCCTTTATAGGAAATTTCCAACTTTTATCGGACGAGTTGTAGCTTGAGCCAACAGGTTCCGGGAACTTCCGGCAACATGCGAATGCAAGGACGTAGCCAGGTTTCGAGCTAGGAAGGGGCGATTTTTTTTTTTTTTTATATTATAGTCACTTCAACTCTCTTGGGTCATTCGTGACTTGTCCGGGGGTGAGATTTGAACTCGTGACTTTGGCGTGAGAGGTACGGATGTTAACCACTACGCTGGGGTCGCCCCGTGGGGGGCGGGGCGAACAAAATTTACTATGGAAATTTGGCCGATTACCATTTCACCGAAAGCCTTTGTGTTGCTGCCCTGCCCCCTCTGGCTACGTCTATGTGCGGATGTGTCTGTACGAGAATCTGATGATGGATCAACCGCTGCCGGTAGACATTTCGATATCATCCGATGTGTCGTTAGGTACCTCTGCTAGAAGCCTTTCACCACCGAATAGCTGGTCGAATTCGCTGGTAAGATTCTAGTTTCTCTATGTGATTTTCTTTGGATGAATAATAATATAAAAAACCTATAATTATTTTAATCTGGTTTTTTTTTTCGTTGATTTTTTTTTCCGTAATGAGTACCACAACAGACGTCGAATGAATCGTCCTACCCTCCCCCAAAGACCGTGAGGACGTGCTCGGCCTGTTATTGATCTATAAATATGATTAAATTACTGTCCTTTTATACATTGAAGATGAAAAACTACTCCCATGTACCATCTATGAGTTCTCAGTGCAAGTGCACTAATTCTGATCTGTTCTGATCATTCATGGAGGAGCAACTGCGAAAAAAAAAATGTGTTCAGATGTAGTGGCTTGGAACTATCCATTTGGTTGAAAATCATTCGAATTTTTCACTGAATTTAAATGACGAAGCATGATTTATACCAATTTGGCGTCATCGGTTTGGACATAAACATTTGGGGTTGGTTCAGTTGTTTCTGGGATGGAATAGTTCCCTTTATTTAAACGTGATCGTCTTCGAATTAAAATTCAAAATTATAACAACAATATACCGTTTTGGTGCGCAAACTTTTACACCTTTTAATGTACAGCACTTTACTACAAATTGTACTTACTTAAACTGTTAATACTTAATCGAACGAACAAATGTTAGTTTTAGCGCAATCGCATTTTGTGAAAAATAAGGGGTTTTCTATGTGAATTTTACCTTCCTGGACAGATGTACCGCAACGAAACAAAAGAAGGGAAAGGTGCTGTTTGGATGATTTTAATTGTAATTTACAGCTGAGCTAATGCTTGTTTTGGCGCGGCCGCTTTTCCTGCAACTCACGAATGACACCAATTTTTCTGTAGGATTTCAAAAGATGATAGAAGCTTATTATGAATGCTGTCTTTCTTATTTGGACTCTTAGTTCTCCTTCTTCATTCTAGTCGAGGTCATTCGATAGATGATGGAATCCCTGCCTGGATCCATGGTTGCGATGGCCATCGAAATAGCGAACAGCGAGAAGACTAGAACAACGCTGAACCACAGGATGATGTTGAAGATGACTGGATAGTTGCTGTCGTACTTCATGGCAATGTTGTACTAAAACAAATACACAACATTGTATGAATGTATGGTTATTGAGATATTTAAAAAAAAAACTTACAGGGTCTGCTTCATCGGGTTCTCCAGCCTGTCGCTTGGAGCGAACCAGTGGTGCTTCAGTGGAAGTGATCAATCCGACAACAACGGCACCATCGAAGGCCTTTTCAGCAGCAGTTTGCAGTTCGAGCATGGCATTGCTTAAAAGCTTCTTAGCTTCAGCGATGGCCTGAGATGATGGTTCATGGGCAGCCAGTATAGCTTCTAGGGACACGCGTACGATGTGCACCGTTGGAACACTTTCATCAGTTGAAGTTACCAGCAAATCGCTCAGTCCGTTGATGAAAGCAATCTGACGCATAAAATCAGAATCGGCCTTGTTCGATTTGGGTTTCAGGTACTGAGGTTTCACGTCGTCGTCATCAGGCTGAACGGTTCCCAGCGGAGTGGAGAAGCTGTCCGACTATAAACCCTTTTATTAGCAACACAATCCTCTTGGGAATGAACCACATTTACTTACCGATTCCTTAAGGTCAACTTCAAAGCTAATGCCATTGTGATCAGCTGACTTCTGAATAAGCTCTCCAAGCGAATCTGATCCGGATCCACCGTACAACTCATAAGCTTGAGCTCCCTACAACAAACAAAAAAAAAACAGGTGTCAATGAAAAGTTCGGTCACGGGATCTTTCATAGCACGTACTTCCAACGTGAGCGAATCGATTCCCTCAGCGATGACAACCACTGCTCCATTGGCCATGTTGAAGGGGTCCTTTACGATAAGTCCATCCCATTCGGTCGGATGAGCTACCGAATAACCGAGGGCAGCACCAAACACATCCGATACAGACTCAGCATCCAATCGGGTATGACCGTGGAATTCTAGCGCCTTTGGCGAGTAGAGAATCGATAGCTGATCACAGTTAGCTAAATGGTTAAGAAAAGGATATAGATTATTCAAGATACCCTTCCAATATGTCCTTGGCAAAGATAAGAAGGGAGAAAACAAGGGTCAAAATATGACTAATTTAAAAACCACTTGAAAGTTGCACAAACACAAAAATTAACATATAATTTAGGAAGATTACCGCATTTACTATTGCTGGATCAGTTTTAATGATGGGAAAAATATAATTTACCTGCGACGAACAGCGAAAATAGGAGGAAAATCGCCCGTGCCATTTTTGCAGCTTAAACTTTTGCACCAGTGATCATATGACGTTTTCGATTTCCACTGCGTTTCACTATGTTCTGTTATCGATTATTTCGTTCCGCTTTCCATTATGACCCTTCACGTGACCGTGACACGCTCGCTGTCAGATCGCCGTCATTGTTCGATGAGTGTACTAACGCATCAACTACACACTATTACAAACCAACCCAAAATTTGAGTTCCTTTGTATTGCTATCTCTTGTTCTCTCATTGAAAATGTAATGAACAGGCTACACACTGCAAAAAAATGTAATATCGATCAATGTAATGCAAGCTGATGTATGAAACAATGATGTAATAGCAAAAAGCAGATACAATATTATATCAATGGATGTAATTTTTTTCGCAAAATCGATGTACATCGTACAACGTTATATTACACAACCGATGGATTGACCTGGTTGCAGCAGTTTGGATGTAATATTCAATTACTTTTTTTCTGTGCACTTAAAATCAAAACCTGCACTATAAGCTACGATTACTTGAAATTATCGGTATTTTTTACCGATAAAAATCGTTACTTTTAACTCTAAATAGAATGTTTTTACCATAAATTAGGACACTTTTGACGTTAATTATTGGTAGAGGAAACAGTCCTATTGTTGCGGTACGTTAGCAGCGTTAGAAGCCTATTGTTGTGTATAGAGACTGCTAAAGTATGATTGTTTCAGTGATTTGTTTTCATCGGGAAAAATTTCCGCTATGAATTTTTTTTTCCCGATGAAAACATTTTGCGTATACGTATACGTGACGTAGTGTGCGTACGATAAACGTCAGCAATCTCTATGAAGTTCTCCATATACCGAGGGGGACGACTCTATCTACGATGCAGAAAAAATGTGTTTTACTGTGGATAGCTGCACGCACGCTGAGTAGATAGAAGGAAGATTTATGTCGATTTTGAAGATTTCCTGCAAAAAGATGAAGCGCGATGTAAGTAGGTGCGAGAAATGAAAGATGATTTTTCGAAGATTGATTCGCTAGTGTGAAATTTTTTGAGCATCTTGAATTGAGATTTACCTCGCCATATACCACAATTGAGCTTTTTGACGTTTAATCGGCGCACACCACTGTACAATTTAAAGCGAACGAGTGCGAGCAAGAGGGAAACAGATTAGTGGGAAAACAAACCGTCCATTCATCCATGTTTGCTAGATAGAGAAAGATGATTAAACGTCAAAAAGGTCTATAGGTTTCTAACGCTGCTAGCGTACCGCAACAATAGGGCTGTTTCCCCTAATCCATGGCTACCGATAATTTAGGTATGTGCACTTTCTTCGATTATCGGTAATTTTTACCGATGTCTAGGTATTCTTTATCGACTTTTAGGTATGTGCATCTTATACCCCGTACAGACTATCCCAAGTTTCAATTTGGGTTTTATGAGGGTTCTGTAGACTACACACTAAATTTAAATCGCTGAAAATCAGCAAAATTTTGCTGATTTTAGACTTGATGAACGATCAGTAAACGTTTCAGCAAAATAATGCTGCTGAATTTTCAGCAATTCCAACTTCTGTCAAAATGACAACCTTTTACTGATAATCAGCAATATTTCTTTATTGATCTTTCAGCAATTCAAAATTCTGACATTTGGCAGCATTTTGCTTATTAAACTATTACATTATAGCATTGGATTGCTGATCATGATCTAGTAATTCGTTTTACTGATAATGAAAACTTAAATTTGGTGTGTATACACCAAATTTAAATCGCTGAAAATCAGTAAAATTTTGCTGATTTTAGACTTGATGAAAGATCAGCAAACTTTCCAGCAAAGTAATGCAATTCCAACTTCTGTCAAAATGACAACATTTTTGCTGAAAATCGGTAAAGATTTCAGATTTCATTTTTAATGATTTTTTCAGCAATCCCTTATTCTATCATTTAGCAGCATTTTGCTGAATACCCGAAAAAAATAACAACAAAAATACATTAAAAAACAATGTATCAATAAGACGAAAATTATTGTCTTAACAAAGATTTATATTGTTACGTCTACAATAAATTTACCTTGATTTATGTTGTACAAAACAGTAAATTTCATGGAAAATTTACAATAAAAAAGGGGGGTTGAATGAAATTTTCGAGATTTCCCCATATATATTTTTTTTCAATAACATTATATATTATTGTTATTTTACTGTTGGTTGGCGAATTTATTGATTAAAAAAAAAACAGTGTACTTTAGAGTGTATGTGTTGGCTTGACAGATCTACTTTATCGACTTTAAAAATAAATCGAAAAAATAAAACAACGCCCCGGGGGGAAGGGGGTGGTATGTCTGTTACGGGTGAGTCTTTTTTTACTGGCTATGGATTGAGATTCGATCCGGAACTTGTGAGAAATGGAGGCCAACTCCCCTGCACTCGATCTCTCTAGGTCACGTCTCTTTGGTGGTTGAGCGTCGTTGATAAGTTAATGCATTTTCTTACTACGAGCATGCAGCTTCTGAAGAAGATTGTAGATAAAAAATACACAAATAATATAGAATCACCTGGCTCTTTGCCATGTATATTTTATTAGATATAACCAACATAATTTTAATAATTTCCTCCTCCTTCTCCTCCGATGTAGATAGTGGTGCGTACGTACTTGCGACTGTGACACTAACAGTTCATTACTGGGTGTCCAGCAAACCGTTTATGTTAGCTGTATTTTTCGGTTAAAAATATCGTTTGCTGTCTTTCAGTAAAGCATTGCTTTGCTGATGATGATCCAGCAATCCGTTTTACTGAAATCTAAATCTCAAATTTGGTGTGTTAGGGGTTTAGTATGATGTTCACACAAAAATAATGTTTTGAATATCTCAGGCATAACATTTGATAACGGCACAAAAGCATTTGTAAACAAACTTTCTAAGGCCCTTTACACGCGAACCAAAGTACGCCCACGCAAACCACTTTCGGAACCCTAATAAAAATTTTATGGTTAATTTGCTTAACGACGTGTTCTGGGTATCATCCAAACCATTTGTGGAATAGTTCAATGATTTGGGTTATCGTTCGTTTATGGTTATTTTTTATTAGGGAAAGGTGATAGTTGCACCTATCTGATGATGTTGTTGGTTTGCGTTGGCGTACTTTGGTTCGCTGCAAAGGGCCTTAGAAAGTTTGTTTACAAATGCTTTTGTGCTGTTATCAAATGTTATGCCTGATCTTATGAAAAGCATGGGCGCTAACCAAATAATCTTTAAGTACAGAATCTTAATCGAGATTTTAATAGTGTATACGACCAATCTGGGTGAGCTCTGAGCGCAATCTGGATAAACTGATCTTAGTGTGTACCGTAAAATTAAGTATGTTCCCGTAATTGCTGTTCTGCTTTTGTTGAAAGTATTTTTTTGTAAATTTATTTATTTGTATTTTGTTGTAGGTAGTAGCTGTATCTTTCTGTAAGTTTCTGTAAGAAAATAATATGGTGCAGCAAGTACGGTAACATAGACCTTTGCTTTTATTGTACAGAATCTAACAGAAAAGCAAGTACGACAACAGACTTATTGCAGGTATACATTTTGCAAAATTCATCTCCTTTAGCCCATTTAGTGAACCAGTCTAATAGCTCAGTTTGATTTTGCATACGGTTAATGCGTATCTTGCGTGTGTGCGTGTTTATTTTGTTTAGCGACTTCAATTCTGGAACCGAACCTGCTACGATGGGAAGCCGATGACATCATTCATTCATAAACCTTAATCAATGATACGAATGACTATTGGCGTAAAATCGGGGGTCAATAGAAAAGGAGCAATTTAAGGCAAATTGCATAAAGCTCTTATGTTACTTAATCGCTGCAAAAAATTGCCACAATATTTTGTTACCTACTGAGAATATTATTCTGGGTTCTCCCTTTTGATGTTTATTTTGACTGTAGGTAGGTATCTGTTCTGCGATAATAATTTTCTACTCGCACTACATATGAATGATTGGTATGTATTTGTGACAGCGTATGCAACAGCTAAGCGATCATCAAAACATCTGTCAAAATCTTGCTCAGCTCGCCCATCGGAATCGAAGATTGAAAAACTTCGTACGATACGATATAATAATATTACCTTTCCGTGTGCATTTTCGCCGCATTATCAGACATCGTTATCAGTGCAAACATCTATCCAATTACGTCAGTGAGATTAGGTGGTGATTTCTATTGGCAGACGTAAGTATTTAGCAAGCAAGCAGTTGTCTCCATCAAGGCCAGGGCGGGCCATCCGCCTCTTCACATTTTTGTCTTGGCTATTTTATTGGATTACGCTTATGCCTTATAAAAAGCTGTATTTTGTGAAAAATGATTTGCATGGAAATTATTCCCAATATTTTCTTCTTTCTGATATATTTACAGCCGAAATAAGCATTGTTTGAAAGTCAGTTGTTTTTAAAAACTGTAAAAATGCCCCCAGTTGCAGGGTAAGCAGGAAAAAAAAAATTAAAACGATTAATCATGTACCTGTCTTGGTCGAAGATATGGGCTTAATAATACACTAACCTTAATACTAGTTTATTTATTACGAAATTAATTCTACCAATATATTCTTCAGTAATCCACTAGAACTATCATGTTTTTCCTGAAAACAACCCCAGTCAAACTCATAATCATCTGCTTCAATAGTTTACCATATATGGAAAAAAATGAGACCTAATATAATTTTGCTGTGCGTGTAAGTTTGAATCATATTATATTTTATTATTTCTATCAAAAGTTGATGGTTTATGATTGATTTCAGGATTTTAGGTTTATTCAAGTGAAAAATTTCTGTAGGGTAAATGACTGGCAAACAATGCTTTGAAACATGATGAGGCCTCATGCAAACAAAATCTAATTTCCCCCCTTACGAAAATGGGTAGTGATCTTGCCAAAGTCATCATGAAATACTGAAATGCTTCACTTGAATAAAACCAAAGCTACTGATTCCGTTTGCAGATATCTGCAGGTAAACTAGGTATCATTTTGAAAGCTTTGTAGTCCAGGTTATCACTCTGAATGTCTGAATGGGTTTTGGATCGAAAACATAAAAATAAGCTGACCATTTAAAAAAGTAGTTGATTTTTTTTGACGAATTAAAAAAGCAGGTTATATTTACAA